CAAGGACATACAACAGGCCTTGGTCCAAGGAGGTGTGGATGTAAGCGAGGTGTATTCTCCACCCCGCCTGACGGCAAGGGCCAAGCGACATGGCCTACGACCCGGCACAGCAATGGACCTGGCCACGGGTTGGAACTTTGCAATCCCGCGTCATCGTTGAGAAGCACTCCGTCTTTTGCGAGAGCACCGACCAGCCCTCATCATGCTGTGTCCTCCTTGTGGCCCATTTTCGAGCATCCGGAACCTCACGAACTACAAGCGAGACCCGGACATCGTTCAGGCGGAAACCGAGGAAGGTCGCAAGCATCTGCGCTTCGCAATGAGCCTTGCCACGATGCAGCTCAAGGAGGGTCGAGGCTTCATCTTTGAACATCCCCAGGGAGCTGCCAGCTGGCATTCTCCAGAGGTGCAGCCAATACTACAGCATCCACAGGTACTTCGTGTCGTCCTGGACATGTGTGCCTTCGGTTTACACGCTCCTGATGGAACGTTGCACCGGAAGCCGACAGTCATCCTCACGAACGTGCCGGAGATTGCCGAAGCACTTTCCAAAAGGTGCACCCAGGATCATCCACACATGCCCCTGATGGGCGGACAGCTTCCTGCAGATGCAGCCAAGTACACGCCGAACTTCGTGGATGCAATTCTCAAGGGCTTGAGACGTCATTTAAAACGTCAACATTATCCAGTTTTCCATATTCCCGATCAGTGGGAATGGCGAGGGCACGATCTAGTGTGCCGACATTTTGCGCCGCGGCAACACATGGTGACGCCGCATGACTGCGAGGCTTTCGACCTCACCACTGTGAAGTTTACTGGTAGGCGCACCACATCGAAAGAGTTCGTGGGTGGCGCCACCACCACGACTGTCCAGGATACCTGGACCAGTCATCGCGCGGCCATGCCAGACCGCCAGGCATGGTCAGGCGCCACACATTTCGAGACGGTGCCCACGATTTTGCTGCCACAGCCCATGGAGGACTACGCGGAGTGGTTGGCCAACGCTGTGGC